TAAACATTGCTCCTCTTTACAAACAATTGTAGAAAAAAATGAAAATTATGTATACATTTTCCATTCAATTACCTACCCATAAACCCATATATGCTAACAGCGAAAGCAATAAATTATGATGTATAACATTTCACAATAAATATGTTGTTTCCAATGTCGCGTAATCCATGGCAGTAATTAAATGGCGATTGTAAATCAATACGTGCGTTGTACTTGGCGTCCTCGTCAGACTTGAACTTCGCAGTGTAGTGACTCTTTATGTAATTGATGCATACATCATACATCCATCACATTGTGGCGGGGCGGTGGGTAGCCTTGTGGTTCAAGTGTTCGCTCGTCACGCCGAAGGCCCGGGTTAGATTCCCCAAATGTGCATAATGTGTGAAGCCCATTTCTGGTGATATCCGCGGTGATATTGTTGGAATATTGCTAAAATCGGCGTAAAACCATATTCATTCACTCACTCACAATGTGGCACCAAAACTCTCACAAGTTAGAAATGTTATTCACTATCAACAGTCCGAATGAAGCCATGTAATTCCATATCAGCTGTAAACGGGCTGATAGGCGTTATCCCACTCCCGGCTCCCCTCCTTTCTTCCTGAATGATGACGACATACTATACACACGCCAAATCGCCTTTTAGTCTAAATATGATGTGTAACATTAACTTCAGCCTTTCATTCTGTGTGATGTAAGTTATGTTCCTATATACACCCTCCGCGCCTTTCATTCGGTGTGATGTAAGTGACAAATTCAATATGGGTTACGTATTCACATAGGAATATGGAAATATGGAAAATGACCATTTTCAATTAGTTTCCCGAGAAAAACGTGAACATCATATTCCACACAGCAATCGCCTCAGGTGTTTATAGTTAACCGGGAGCAGTATCGCAGTAAATGGGGTTTTACAAAATTGTGGACTGGGTATCCCGCTCTAGTCGTAACACGCGTGCTGTTACACCTCGTGGCGCTGATCTGTACGCAAAGCACCACAAGAACTGCGTGAAATGTGACGTTCATGCGATCGTGTGTGAACATGTCAGGTTTGAACTGACGTCTTTGACCCATCACCAGGGAACTAACGTCAGGTACATTGTAGTAACGTCAATTACACGGCATCAACGTCAGTTACACTGTATTAACGTCAGTTACATTGTATTAACGTCAGGTACATTGTATTAACGTCAGTTACATTGTATTAACGTCAGTTACATTGCATTAAAGTCAGTTACATTGTATTAACGTCAGTTAAATGTATTAACGTCAGTTACATTGTATCAACGTCAGTTACATTGTATTAACGTCAGTTACATTGTAGTAACGTCAGTTACATTATATTAAAGTCAGTTACATTGTATTAACGTCAGTTACATTGTATTAACGTCAGTTACACTGTCTTCACGTCAGTCACATTGAATTAGCGTCAGGTACATTGCATTAACGTCAGTTACATTGTAGTAGCGTCAATTAAACGGCATTAACGTCAGTTACACTGTATTAACGTCAGTTACATTGTATTAACGTCAGTTACATTGTATTAACGTCAGTTAAATGTATTAACGTCGTTCCATTGTATTAACGTCAGTTACATGTATTAAAGTCAGTTACATTGTAGTAACGTCAGTTACATTGTATTAACGTCAGGTACATTGTATTAACGTCAGTTACATTGTAGTAGCGTCAATTAAACGGCATTAACGTCAGTTACACTGTATTAACGTCAGTTACATTGTATTAACGTCAGTTACACTGTATTAACGTCAGGTACATTGAATTAACGTCAGTTGCACTGTCCTAACGTCAGTTACATTGTATTAACGTCAGGTACACGATCTTAACGTCAGGTACATTGTATTAACATCAGTTACATTGTAGTAACGTCAATTACACGGCATTAACGTCAGTTACATTGTATTAACGTCAGATACACTGTCCTAACGTCAGGTACATTGTATTAACGTCAGTTACACTGTATTAACGTCAGTTACATTGTATTAAAGTCAGTTACACTGTCTTAACGTCAGGCACATTGTATTAACGTCAGTTACACTGTCTTCACGTCAGTTACATTGTATTAATGTCAGGTACATTGTATTAACGTCAGGTACACGATCTTAACGTCAGGTGCACGACATTAACGTCAGTTACATTGTAGTAACGTCAAATACACGGCATCAACGTCAGTTACACTGTATTAACGTCAGTTACATTGTATTAACGTCAGGTACATTGTATTAACATCAGGTACACAATCTTAACGTCAGGTACACGATCTTAACGTCAGTTACACGGCATTAACGTCAGTTACACTGCATTAATGTCAGTTACAGTTTGTTAACGTCAATGGGACACTGTACTAATTATACGTATGGAGATTCAATGTGATGTTAGTATAGATACAAGGCTTTACCATTGGAAGACAGGCTGGTGACGTGACAGCTAAACACATTTTGATGTTCATATACTTTTAATGAGAAGGTGAAGATCAAAACAGGAAGACATAAGCGAGAACACCAGATTGCGGCTTTTTAACCGCATGGGAGGACATAGCGTCGTGCAGGCAGAAAGGAATTTCTAATTTCTAATTAAACATTCAGCATTACATTCTAGACGGCAGCAAGTGTGACGCCTTTGACAGTAGCCGTTGTTTTGAACACGGGAGCAGGGGCTATATTACCGTAACAGTAACCGTTGTTGTGAACACAGGAGCAGGGGCTATATTACCGTAACAGTAACCGTTGTTGTGAACACAGGAGCAGGGGCTATATTACCGTAATAGTAACCGTTGTTTTGAACACAGGAGCAGGGGCTATATTACCGTAACAGTAACCGTTGTTGTGAACACTGGAGTAAGGGCTATATTACCGTAACAGTAACCGTTGTTTTGAACACAGGAGCAGGGGCTATATTACCGTAACAGTAACCGTTGTTGTGAACACAGGAGCAGGGGCTATATTACCGTAACAGTAACCGTTGTTGTGAACACAGGAGCAGGGGCTATATTACCGTAACAGTAACCGTTGTTGTGAACACAGGAGCAGGGGCTATATTACCGTAACAGTAACCGTTGTTGTGAACACAGGAGCAGGGGCTATATTACCAAACATCGATCTCAAGACGAGCCCTGATGTCATGTGGCCTGGGGTGAGGTCACACTGACCCAATGCTGACTCATCGCGTGACCAAAACTAATAATACATACAGCAGTAAGTAGGAAATACGTAGTCAAGGGGTTAGTTTAATACCAGCTGCACCAAGCACGTTAGTGGTGGGTTGAAGCAGATTAATATACAGACCATGTATCGCACTTATCGCACTCTGTATGTCAAGCTAAGCGGATTTCTTGCATGAACAGCACAAGTCCGTCAGAGGTGACACAACCGTTTGTTTAGAAAACAAGTTTAAGGCGAAGGTCTGTCAAACAGTATTGAACTCCCCACACACGGGCCTGTTGGCTACAGACGTAATTAGTGGGGCTGAGGGATTGGGGTGGGGGCACTTGGAATGTTTCCTACCCTGGAAATTCTAACCATGTTTTAGTCTCATGACGCCAGTGTGTAGAACGTGCTTTTAATCTTATTCGTGTCCCGGAATAAAGGTCTAACGGAAGAACGGTGTTTAGATTATCTGACTTCGTTACAGCGAATCACGTTAAGACATGGTACATTTTGTTACCTTGCCTGGCGCGCGGTATAACGGGATGAATAACGGGACAGTGGTTCAGTAAAGCCGGCAGGCACACACGCGTGTCTCCGTAGCTGGAGAAGTGCGTTGTCTTGATGTTCAACCTTCACCTTGGTTTAGGGGTAAACATTCCAAGCAAATCAACTGATATGTGCGTGTAAACAGTGATAGGCTGACCGGTCATCAACCGGCCAGTGGGGATGAAGGTGACGATGTTCGGGATGTCGATCCTAATATGTGTTGTTAATCAGAACGAGGGACAGCATTTCCACACTACCGTAACCAGTATTCCAGCCAGGCATAGGAAACAGACAATAGTATCCTGACTGCATTATGTTGTCGTGTCGACGTCATTGTGGGTCATCGTCATAGACTTCTACATCGTGTGGAAGTCAGGAGGTGGGCGGAGCACCAAGCACGTGGTCAGTCAGAAATATACAGTCCACATTCACTGACCAATGACCATGTTGCGCTGTACACTCGCTGACTGCCCACGTGCTGGTTACTCACACCGGTTTGTGCACACAGACACACACACACGTGCATACACGCAGCAGACATATACACACATAGAGAGACGCTTAGACACCCAGGCACGCGTGTATAGACACACACATCCAGACACGTACACAGACATACATACCCATGGAGAGAAACACGCACAGACACACACACACAGACACTGTGACGAAGAGAAATGGACAAATACACGCATAGACTCACACTAACAAACATGCAGAGATACACACAGACTCAAACAAACAGACATGCATACATACACACACAGACCCACACAAACAGTCATGCAGAGATACACACACAGACTCACACAAACAGACATGCAGAGATCCACACACAGACTCACACAAACAGACATGCAGAGATACACATTGACACACAGAGTCAGACAAACAGACAGACAGACACACACGCACACACGTAGGCGCGCGTACTCTGTGTGCCGAGACTCCCAGTGTAACCAATGTGTCAACGAACTGCACCCCGGTGTGTGACTGTTGCTCCGTGTTTCAACTGCAGCCAGCGCAGCTAGCACACTAATTATAATTAATAACTAAAATATTTCCGACAGCTCCGTGAGATCTGTTACTGACATCTAGCTCCTCTCCAAAGAAAAATGATGACCTTCATGGAAAATGATATTCTTCGAAAAGGCGATCGGAGAATGTTCGCATGGGTTGCCATGGCAACAGAGATCGTCTTTGGTACAGTTATAGACACGCTAGAGGGTCGTCAGAAGTACCGAATTTAACGGAGCAGCATGCGTTTTTTTAACCAATATATTCCTCGGGTGGTGACCAATCTGTCCATTCATCCCGTCATTCATAGTTTCATATGCGCCGCTTCCCGGCACGTGAGCCAGAAGACCTGTTAACTTTGTTCTCGCCAGTAGAGGGAGCCCTTTGTCAGCGCGCCCGCATCGATTTGTGTGTGTGAGCTAACCGAGGTTTGGATAGACCTTTAAACCTCTTTGTGCTGAGGGAGTGAAGAATCGTCTTCCTTCCGCGGCAATGGCGGAATATGTAAAATCTCCGTTTTGACATTTATAGGAGGATACGAGCTTGATGTGAGATACAGGGAGCTACCTGGGCAAGGTTAGTAAGTGTATCATATTCAACTCGAGGACATACATGTAGGCCTGGCCATGTTGACAGGGAACTACTGCACTGGCTGGAATAACGTCGGGGGGAATGACACATCGGGCGGACACACTGACCAGTTGGTGCACTCAGTCACTGCAGTGTTTGTTTTATTTAAAACAGGCTGACATATGTTGCCTGAACATTATGGGCACCGATGTTGTCCCCGTGACTCTCCCGAGCAACTCACCCACTACTCACCCAGGTACTCACCGACCACCTTGCCAGCGTGAATGTATTGTGTAGAGATGTAGAGATTGTGTGTACACAAAACGTCTTTGTTTAAATCCAACAGATGATTTCCCCAATACGGATGTACTCACGTTGTGTGTTGGTGAATGTGGCTAAATGTCATCTATAATGTCATATTTCTAATTGACGTATGTAGGCGTAATAATAATTTGACTGGTGCCAGTACGTTCGGCAACGACGTTGTAGGCATCTGACATATGGTATGATACACAAAGTTGATGTACTATGTTGCCCTCCCTCTTCCCACTGCCTCTTTCTGTCTCCGTCGTACTCACTTTCTCTTTCTTTCTCTCTCTCTCTCTCTCGCTCTCTCTCTCTCCCTCTCTCTCTCTCCCTCTCTCTCTCTCCCCCTCTCTCTCTCCCTCCCTCTCTCTCTCTCACTCTCTCTCTCTCTATCTCTCTCTCTCTCCGTGTATCTCCCTCTCTCCTCACCCACTCTCTGTATCTCTCTCTCTCTATTTCTCTCCGTCTTTACCTCCCTCTCTCCCCATCCCTTTCTCTTCTTCCCCTCTCTCCCCGTTTATCTCCCCCTCTCTCCCCATTCCTCTCTCCCTCTCTCTCGCTCCTTCTCTCTCTCCACCCCACACCTCTATCCACATACACTGCACACCCTATCATTTATCCTAAATATGTTTTACCACGTGAAACCATGTAGGTGTGCTGTCAGTGTTGGCACCCTCTAGTCACCAGTTGTCAATATCAACTGTGCCTGGTGTGTGTGTCATATAACTATATCCAGACGTATCCAGATACGACCAACACCATCTGTTCTGGCGATAATTATGCTGTAGCACTGACAACATTGACTTCATTGTCAATAAATGTACAGTCAATGCGTCCTTTGTCCCAGGTCAGGCTGGTGTTGCAGGTAATTAAGACAAGAGCTGACGGTGCATGTCTTAATAAATCAGCTTTCTCCTTTCAATTCTCTACAGTGATTTCACACAATGCATTTATGACCATGATCGTAAATCAATGCAATAGTGGGAAAAAATAAACTTTAATTCAAACCTAAATTAGGTCACAACTGCTATGCGTGTCTCTCTAGGCAGGATGAAGATGTAATACGACGATGTCAGATTGGCCATACGCGTTGTACCCATGAACACTTGCTAATATGCTCCATTCTGTTACGAGTGATGACAGAATTACAGTGACTGCATGACTAAAGATTTTTCTATCACAAGGAATAATAATAATAATTATTATAATATAGTCAATTATAAAGCGCTCCACGCCGCTGGGTCATGCTGTAAGAGCACACAACATGGTGGCCATCATTACCCCGGATAACCCAAGTTACCTGTGAGGCGCAGGAAGGTTAATAGCCATATGATTCATCCACCATTTTCTGCTGGGTGAACAGAGGCAAACTCACCTGCCTAACGTGAGACCACATTTGTGCTTCGTAGAAACTCCCAGGAGTCAAGTCGCCAAACACAGGGACCCATTCAACCACTCTTCGTGACCAAGTTTTCTTCACTTCACCTGATTTGTGACCTCAATCTACAATGTAATAACAAGCTTGATCTCATCGCAATATAGCTTCAATATGGCCGATGTGATGTATAATTGTATTGCCCACCCTTTAGGTTTTTGATGTTATTTTTAACTGTTTGATGTAACATTGTCACATTTATTCAGTACATGCGTTTCATCATTGTGTTCCTTAGATTATGACATAGCAAACAATGAAGTTTTCATGGTACAATATGATCAGGTGTGTTTCAAGGGATGCGGGAATACAACGTAGACCATTGTCAGGTGGGCTGTGGAACAAAGTACATAAAGACGTCCCCAACTTCCTTCCGAATAATATAAGAGACAAATAACACGTCCGAGGTGTTGATCAAGGTTTAGCGACAGTGACAATGCCACCAGGTACATGATTACAAAGATACATATACGCCATGGTGGAATATTTTATGAGGAGAGTCTAAATTATGGTTAATAAATCATTTCGTGAGTCAGCGGGTTGTAAAATGACGTACATGAAACCAAAGTATCACAACACCCTTATGCTTCATAGTATGTAGTTGTTACTATTAACTAAAGCAATTTATCCAACAATTTAACTTACTATCCACATAAACTGACCCACAAGGAATAAAAATGGCAAATCTAGACGCTAAAGAACGAGACACTGTGGTTTATGCGTGGTAGCAGACATGGCAATAATTAACTGACTTACTTTGTATTGACGTTAACAATGTAATCAGTGTTTAAGATTCTCGCATACAATCCTCCAGGAATCACAGAAGTATGAATAACTGATCACAATGTCAATTTCTGCCGATAACCTCGGCATACTGCGGTAACACCCCCTGACCAACCTTTGACTGTATCAGACGTTTAATTTGATGTTTAGGTATTGCGTTCTATTCCTAATGGAGGCTTGTTCCATTACATCAAGATTTTGTACTGTATGATCTCCCTGACGTATTCCACGACACATAATGTCCCAACATGTTCTGTGGGATTGGTATCTGGGCTAATAGAGCTTCCATCGCCTTTTGACATAACGTGCCCGACTTGGCAGAGCACTGTCGTCCACGAAGACTGGCCTTGTGTCCAGGGGATGGTCATCTAAATGTGGTACAACAACCCTGTACAGGATGTCAGTGATGTCGATGTACCGTTGTCCTGTCAGATTGTGTGTGATCGTCGCAAGGTCAGTTTGATGAAACTTGATCGCCTTTGATCGGAGCACGTGCACAGCTTAAATCAATATATGTCCAAACGAAGGGTTAAAATAATTATACAAACAAATATAATTATTATATCAATATAAATGCATATATGGGCGTTAAACTTCATGGTTGTTGCGATACTTTTTTCCGTGTGTATGCTTCATAACACGTCCACGGGGTGTTGATCAATTTATGCATCATAACACATCCGGGGTGTTGATCAATTTATGCATCATAACACGTCCACGGGGTGTTGATCAATTATGCATCATAACACGTCCGGGGTGTTGATCAATTTATGCATCATAACGTTGCTGCAGTGTATGTCTGTATTGCTCAACTCCTAACCAGCCCCGTTTCCAACCCGATAGGCAAACACATTATGGTACCATATACAATTTAAAAGGCGAGTGTTCTACACAGTGAATAATGTTGCGCAAATCATGGAGCGTAAGGGAGTCGGTACACTGATATGTAGCATACAAACCAATACATGTATATAATAAAACGAGCCATAGATTCTTAGACATTAACCTCGACTGGCCAACTTCTCTGGACGACATTGTAAAGTGGTCATGTACAAAACAAGAGGGCTGGAAGTAATTAACATACATGGCCAGGACGGACAGAAGCCAGCTGATTTAACAACCTAGAGTCCATTACATCTTATTATCTGTCGCCAGTCAGCGCTTATAAGCTGTGGACATCCTTTGTGACGTGTCCACTTTTGTTATATTATTGCTTTATGTATCATTGTCAGATGTCAGTATGTCCCAGCAACATGAAGCCCAGTGTCAGATGTCAGTATGTTCCAGTAACATGAAGCCCAGTGTCAGATGTCAGTATGTTCCAGCAACATGAAGCCCAGTGTCAGATGTCAGTATGTCCCAGCAACATGAAGCCCAGTGTCAGATGTCAGTATGTTCCAGCAACATGAAGCCCAGTGTCAGATGTCAGAATGTTCCAGCAACATCAAGCACACTGTCAGATGTCAGAATGTTCCAGCAACATGAAGCCCAGTGTCAGATGCCAGTATGTTCCAGCAACATCAAGCCCAGTGTCAGATGTCAGTATGTTCCAGCAACATCAAGCCCAGTGTCAGATGTCAGTATGTTCCAGCAACATGAAGCCCAGTGTCAGATGTCAGTATGTTCCAGCAACATCAAGCCCAGTGTCAGATGTCAGTATGTTCCAGCAACATCAAGCCTAGTGTCAGATGTCAGTATGTCCCAGCAACATCAAGCCCAGTGTCAGATGTCAGTATGTCCCAGCAACATGAAGCCCAGTGGCAGATGTCAGTATGTCCCAGCAACATCAAGCCCAGTGGCAGATGTCAGTATGTCCCAGCAACATCAAGCCCAGTGTCAGATGTCAGTATGTCTCAGCAACATCAAGCCCAGTGTCAGATGCCAGTATGTCCCAGCAACATCAAGCCCAGTGTCAGTGGTTTTACAACATTGTAATGAAAAAATGACTTCCGTATCAAGGGCCATCTCCTGTTCCTCGCCTTCCAATGTATCTCCGGATCAGCTCGTCTACCTCCGCAACCTTCTTCAGATCTACCAGCCTGCTCGAACTCTCAGATCCCAGACCAAGTCTCACCTTGTTGTTCCCCATACAAACACTGTATTCAAGCTTTCCCTGACTGTTGATTATCAACCAGATTGTGCGATTAGAGCATCGTTATGTTTGGAAATACACTATTATCATAGGGTCCATAAACTGAAGGGTTAAAGATAGGTCGACCACAAGGTATGTGGTGAGAGTATGTTGTTTAAGGAAGCAATCAGCACAACTCTATCAATAACAACACGTTAGTGATGAAACACAGCATTGGTGCTTAGTGTTAGTGCTTGAAGACGTTAGTTAATGTTCGAACATTAACAATTGTCCCACTTCTAGATCAATAGTTGCTATGATGTAGTCTAACGGTTAAAGTGTTGGCTCGTTACCTCAAAAACCCAGGTTCATTTGTCCACAGTTACAATTTGTAAATCCACTTTGTTGTGTCCCCCGCCGTGGGATTGTGGAATATTGTTAAAAGCGGCGTAAAACCATACTCACTCTATCAGTCAGCATCGATAAACTATCATAATAGTTATTTATTTAAAAGAAAAGCACACTGAATTCGACCTGTGTGTCTACGTTTCGTCCCTAAAGGTTCAACTGACCCACCATGCGGTAATTAGACTGTATGTACTTTAGTATACTTGGTATGAACAACATGTTTCGCAAATGTTTCCCGATCTCCTCGAGCGGGTGCCTCTCCCTGTGGAAAATCACATGACGACCATCTCAGCCGGCAGGAACCAGTCACCGTTGTATTTGAGCAGGTTAATGTTGATTTACGGTGAAATAGAGGCACCATTATCGGTATGACATAGCGTAGTCGGCAGGGATTACTCCACTTTGTTTGGAGGGTTAAAAAATGGCTCATTTGTAAGAAGGCGTATCTTTGACAGCACGCACGTAAGTCCTTGAGTTTATTGAGTGTAGCTACGGTGGCCAATACCGAAGATGACAGCGTTGTTGTAATGGGGGACGTGTACATAAGAGGTCCTCATCACACATGAGACTGGTGTGGGTTGTGTATGCCGTGTCAGTCACGGGTCTACCCTTATTCATACAGTCACACCCATCTGTATACCTCATCTACCTTCTGTCTGCTCTTGCCCGCAGGTTGACTCTGTTTCCACACAAAGATGGACAAAGGCTGGTCCTGGGTCGTGCTGGGATCATGCTTCGTGGCCTTCCTGCTGTCCGGCTGGTTCGCCTATACCGTCGGGGTCGTCCACGTCGCCCTTCTAGACGTCTACGACGACGACAACGCCAAGACGTCGTGGGTTGGAGCGCTCCACTCCAGCATGATGTGTCTGACAGGTGGAGAAGTTTAAAGGGGGACACCGTGGCCTGATGCCCGTTCTAGGTCTAGACATTGTCAGTTGTGAGAGAAAATGGGGCGTAGCTACCCTTTAAGACGGGACGCAAGGTACTGCCAGACTAAGAGTTAATCCTCCAACTTGATCCCGATTTTTGGCAGACAGAAACTAGTAATGTATAACGTTTAAACGTCTTTTTCAGCGATGAAATGACGTGATGTCCATGAGATGTGTGACATATATAGTTGTCGATATTTTCCTCAACTTTCATAAGTCCTATAGACATGAAAAATAACGTTGCTTGCCTATCAATTCTCATGTTAACACTCCTAAGAAAAGCTCATTTAACTCATTGTCTAACTCACAAGTTATTTTGGACAGCTGTGCAGGGTCTACGACGGTCTACATGGACGATGCATATACTCCGATACTAATGCTAATTTAGCCAAGGGTGCTCATTAATATCTGCACCATTACTTACATTTTTGACTTAAAGTATCTCCATTTCCAACCTGTACATTACCTTACAAATCCACATTAATCTACATTTATTCACGAAAGGTTGGTGGGGCCCAGTGGTTAAAGCGACGGCTTGCTGAACACCCGGTGTCTGAAGTCAATTCCTGTAGCCCCCTGCCTGTACAATGAATGAATATCCTTTCACTGACAGATGTTTCATGTCTTCCATGTTTCTCACCAAAAGGCCCTGTGGCGAGTTTGGTGATCAACCGCTACAACTGCCGCGTCTGCACCATCATCGGCGGCATCCTGATCCTCATCGGCTTCACCATCTCCGCCTTCGTCCACAGTATCGACGTCCTCCTCATCACATACGGTGTAATTGCAGGTGCGTCTACATCCTTCCTATAGTCATCAACGGTGTATAAACAGTACGTAATAATTGCGAAGTAACCAGTCCATGTCAGATGAGTGATTGTTACGAAAGAAGACATTAAGGTAAGTAATGTCGTAGAGTCAACTAAAGAGCTCCAAATGGAGATCACCATGTTGTATTCTTCACTCAGTTTAAGTGATTACCAGCTGTTTGGAAAGAATCATATCATATTGTGATTTTATTTTTCAACAGGTGCTGGTACTGGCTTCAGTTACTGCCCCGCTGTCGTCAGTCTGGGCTACAACTTCCAGAAGTACCTGGGAATAACGGCCGGCGTCTCAATGACGGGTGCCGCTCTCGGCCTCTTTAGTGGCGGGCCTGTCATTCGACTCTTCATCGACAACTACGGCCTCAGTGGGACCTTCCTCCTCATGGGCGGTATCGGCGCCAATATGTGTGCATGTGGAATGTTGTTCCGGCCAACCAAGCTCGAGAGGGATTTGAAACAGAAACGTCAGGAGAGTTCAAAACAAACCATGAGAGAATCTGCTCGCGACGGATGGCAGCGGTATGTTCTTATATTCCAAAACCGAACGTTTGGTCTGTACTGTGTTAGTATATTCTCGTGGAATCTCGCCCAGTCCGCGATTTACCTACACCTTCCATTTTATGCCCAGAGCAAAGGAACATCTCCCGAATCGGCGGCCGCGCTGTTTACAGGAATGGGCGCGTTCTCGCTGGTTGCACGAATTCTCACGGGACTTGTAGTGACGAGGCAGGAAATAGACGGCCTTATTTTACACATGGGGTGTCTAGGAATGGCATCTATAACCACCTTCTTATTCCCGCTGTACAGCGCCACCTATGTGGGACAGATGATATATTCTTCAATGCTAGGGTTCTATTTAGCAAGTCCTATGGTTCTACTGAGTCCGCTGACGGTGGAGTTGGTAGGCGTGGACAACCTGGCAGGAGGTATAGGGGTGGGAACCTTTGTCCTAGGATCTGGCTACCTGGTCGGGCCGCCAATTGCAGGTAAGACATGTACAATACACATGTGACATCTTTAAATAATTATTTGTAAAATATACTTTGTCTTTATGTTTTGCGCAAATGGGGTGTTCTGACAAGAACATTTTGTTGGTATAAACAAAATTATTTGGTTTCAGTCACTGAAATCAGATTCTGTCGCAAACACTAAACTTTGGCCTAAAGCGTGGATCTGTTGTCATGGTGTAAAGTTTCTGATTGTCTGCTCCAAACTCGATTTTTACAAATACAGCAGAAATAGTAGCATTAAAGAAGGTAATATGTGCCTTACCGTCATGGTTGTGTTCATTGTGTTCCAGGATTCATCATCGACAGCGGGGCCAGTTACGACCACAGCTTCATGGTTGCAGGTACGTCTACAGTACAGGGACCTTCCTTTCAACAGGGAATAGTTTCATTTTGTGGCTAAACCGGACAGTGGGTGACATGACATTCAGTTGTAATTGTCCACGAAAATGTCCTGTATAAAACGGACTTTGAGTTCATACAGGACACCGTTGGCCTTCTGGGGATTCTGACAAGGATCTTAACAGCATCCGCGGGTAGAATATGTCCTGCGGGTAGAATGTGTGCTGCGGGTAGAATGTGTGCTGCGGGTAGAATGTGTCCTGGGGGTAGAATATGTCCTGCGGGTAAAATGTGTCTTGTGGGTAGAATGTGTCCTACGGGTAGAATATGTCCTGCGGGTAGAATGTGTGCTGCGGGTAGAATGTGTCCTGCGGGTACAATGTGTGCTGTGGGTAAAATGTGTCTTGTGGGTAGAATATGTCCTGCGGGTAGAATATGTCCTGAAGATCATGCCCAAGTCTGACTCTGGTGCCGGTCTCCTCGTTAGGGATTCATTTCAGAACAGGTCCCCAGCAACATACTCTTGTCCTCTTGTGTGACATCTGGCAATGGGCTACTGAGGGAACAATATACCGCGTGTACCCATGGAGTGGTGTGAGTTTGGAATTCTGTGTTGACTTCTGTTTAACCTTCTATTTCAGGCTGTTTTCTCCTTGTGTCCTCGCTTGTTACCCTGGGGGCGGCGGCACTCCATGGAAGATCCCAACTTCCGGTTGAACCTGCTCTCTTCACCAGCCTCACTATCATTCCACCGGAAGCGGCTAGCAATATCAGTCTCCACGCTAGAGAGTTACGAGAAAAGGCGGCCGCTTCGGGGTCGTGGACCTCTGAAAAACCAAAACATATACGCGACATTAATATGTTCATAGATGAGTTGGGGAGAGATTTTGCATATCACCCTGGTGACAACAATCAAAATTCACAACCCAGCGAAATATCCTTACTTGTCGATAATAGCATCATTAACCAGGAGGACACAGTGGTACAGGAAAGGTAGTCATTTGAAGTAATTGAAAACAATCACTTTTGAAGGGTGTGCAGAAGTGAGACACACATTGATTTTACAATCCATAGAATTCTCCTTTATTGGGTCAACTGCTTAATTAAAAAGAGCTTAGTGTTTTCCCACAAGAAGGAGAAACATTAAACGGTACAGTGTATTTCCTATAATAAATACGATGTATTCTCCCCGTGTTTACCAGGCACTTGTGCAGAATGAAGATACTACTACTACAAGGCTTCAAACTGGGCCAAGGAAATGACAAGTTAGATATGTGTTCACATTATTCTGTCCTCTTTGTTTTACTGATTTATGCTCAAAGGCAAAAGTTATTGTGACACTCAAACAGAATCAGTGTTAAGCGTGTACCACAGCGAATGAAACGTGATTACATGGAAACACAAAAGTTCCAAGATGTAGTAACGATCAACAGACCTCAAGAATAGGGGGCCTGGCAGATGCAGAAGGGGTTCACAAGCACTTTCACACGGTCATCAGCGAGTGTGTCCACCTTGTGCATTGATGGAAACATGACTGCTTCTCCACACTGAGGCCACTAAACGTTGATGAATGTCCTGGGGAAGATCATTCCATATCCGAGGAAGCAGTTTCTGCACACCCTTCATGAGTTCCTGGAGGGTTCGATGACGTCGTAAACGTTGCTCCATTTTATCCAAGACATATTCCATGTGGGACAGATCTTGGGATCTCTTCAGCATAGCATATTAACACTGATCTGATTAAGACACTATTGTACAAATCGAACAACGTCTGGTTGCAATCGTGTTGAAGGATCATTCCAGTTGCAAAAGCGGAAAGTAGGCAGTTGGTACAGAACTCAAGTTCCTCTCAATCACAATCATTGGCATCCTGCTTGCAGCTGTTAACCTAGATCATAACGCTTCCACCTCCAAAACGACCACCTTCCAAACACATGGTTTTCATCGTTCCGAACACATCGTTCACTTGTGCACGTGTAAACATGTGTCCTGTCAGAAGAAGGAAGTGGGAATCATCGTTGACGAGAACTCCTCTCCACTCATGTGCTCCCTATCGCAAGCCGTGTCTGCTTCTCTGGAGATGGCGACGTCGATATACTGGGATCAGAACAGGCCGTAGACTCGCACACGTCGACCAATAGTTCTCGTGGACACTGGATGCTCGCTGGAACCTGTGTCAGCGGTGCGTGGTTCGAACCGTCGGTCTTGACGTGGTGGACGGCAACAACGGGGACGGCTACAATGGGGAAGGTATATGGTGTTCTATGGATGTTGAACCGACAAGCACGCTGCGACGTTTGATCTCTATACAAGTGATTTGATCACAATATATTTGTGCATATAAGTATCTCTTTATTTTACATTTCCAATCAGTGTACAAAAACATGATATCAGCTATTTCTATATTGATGTGTTGTATGTTCTCACATTATGTATATGGATGACACGCACTGCTGCTGCAGATTTGTTTGTACTGCGTTCACGTGCTTACAATTAGCAAATATGATATTTTTCTGTATATTTGGGTAAGTAAAGAGAATGTTCTATCTGGATACATACAAAGTATATGTGATGTAATGTCTTTCAAATCTTGTGGCTAAAATATCAAAAGTAAAATGTGTATATTATATATGCACAAAGATTCACATCTACATAGCCTTGTTCTTTATATATATATATAGTGAACCCAGATGAACGTGGAAAGCACACGATATGTTCGGAGTAAAAAATATACGATAAATCCTGCTCAATGTATATAAAGCGACTAAATGCAGATTTTGTTTGAAACACTTACTATGTGGGGAATTCGAAACAACAATAAAAATATCACACTGTATGAAATAGACACTCCCCCCAAAAAGCATGGGTGTATTTTTACGAATTTAATCTGCTAATTTAAAGTGAGAGAACACGTGCATTTCTGGACCAGTTGCAGCCACGTTTCACAGTATGAAAGATAATATTTCTGATATTCATGAACTAAACAAGTCTTTGCGTGCGACTGCGTGGAATTCCGATTCATTCCTCTTGCAGTGCCTGCAACAGTTGTTCTAATGTCTGGGGTGCCGGTTGACGTTAACGAAGGCGTCGGCCGAGGTCATCCCACAAATACTCGAGGGAGCTTGAGGTTGGGCGATTTGGAAGGCCATGGAAGCACTGTAATGTTCTCATTCTGAAGATACTGAATAGTGTCATGTGTTGTGTGAGGCCTGGCATTATCTTGCTGGAACAACTCTCCCTGGTGGTCAATGATCGGAACCATGTGGATCCTTAGGATTTAGCAGTTAAATTGCCTCGAAGGCGCACTAATATTTCTGTGTAGAATATGACTCCCAACCTCGGCATCCTGACACTGCGCCAAACGTCCATCTCGATGTCGATAGACACGTACTCTTCTGTCATGGCAATGAAGAAGAGAGCGTAATTCGTCACTGAGCCACACACATCGCCAGTGTTGTATATAGATTCCAGAGTCAAACGTTACTTCACCACTAGACCCGTCGACGTCGATGCAGTCGTCGCAGAACAGTTCCATGATAAGAGTCTTCTGTCCAGCTTGCCGTAAACGATTACGAATGGTTTGCACCAGGCACTGTACTTACAGTTGACATTGCTGTTAACGGTTCGATTCCGCCAATGAAGTACCCGGATGCGCCTATCCTGCGCCGCAGTTACTGTTGTAACCCTTGGTGTACCACTTCAAGGCCGATCTAGCGTAGACCTGGTTTGTTGATATCGGTCCCATAAACATTGAGGTGACGTGCAATGGCAGACTGAGACTGCCATGTCCCCTGACGTGAAATGACAATGTTTCGATTTACAGAATTAAGTCGCGGCATAACGATATTCTTCATTTAGCTAATCAGTGCCATTGACCGTCTAAACGTTAAACGGACTTATATAGACAATGTCCTGCTCACGATTTCTAGGAGTGAGTGAGTGAGGTTTTTATGCCGCTTTTAGCAATATCACGGCTGGACACCAGAAACTGGACAATTTCCAGGAACTTCATGTGCATATTGCGAGCCACATTTTCTCCATGACATATTTATTCAAGTTGACACTTTCAAACGTAAACGCGCATTAAAGTTTCCTATGATGCGGTTTTTGCGCTTTGCATTCGTTCCATGTACACAAACTGGCATTATAACGGCGAAATTATAACAGTCAAACACTACTTTAGAAAAATATTGCAATTTCATGTACCAATATAACCCGTGCGTTTCTTTATTGGGAGAGTATATTGTACATGTTCTGGTTCCGGGTATCCAACTCAATACGTTTTATCGCAACAAACGAACAAAGTAGTATACATATTGCGCTAGTTTAAGAGCAATTATCTCATGAAATTTCAATGGTAAAAAGGTGAAAATTTTACATGTCAACAGACACAGAGTTCATCCATACAACTTCATTTTTGAGTTACTCTTTACTTGAGTCCACAAGATAGCGTCAAAGTCGCAATTACGGCTCGGCACCGTCTTGGCACAGACTGGATAAGTCGACGAAGTCGATCTTGCCGAATTCTTCCTCACTCTTCCTGCAATGCGATGGCCAGTTGTAGAAGTGTCTAGGCGTGTTTTGACGATAAGGTACACGTCGATCGAGTTCATCCCACAGGTATTCTACCGGGTTTAGATCTGGTGATCGGGAAGGCCATAGCAAAACATTGACGTTAGAATTGGGAAGGTAGCGTACCGTGACGCGTGCTGTATATGAAGTAGCTTTGTAAAGCTGGAACAACTCCCTCTGTCGGCCCATAATCAGAAGCATGAGACGTGCAAAGACTTGTTTGATGTACCGATTTGCCAGTATGCGTCAGGTTAAACACTGACAGCTACATAGCAGGCTACCAGGACGTCAGATGGACACATACAGCAGAGCCATTGCGCGCTGACTGCAGTTGTATCGCCATACAAGGTATAATTACATGCTAATACACCAGCGATGTATAATCGGTCACGACTTACATCAAGACAATGGACAATTCATTCAAATAGGTATCACTCACAATCGAGAGACAGGAGGGCGATTACTATAAAGGTCAAGCGCCTTCATTGGTCAGTACACCACTGACAGGAATCTGCTTGCCTGTAATCCTTCCTCTTCTTCGTATAAGGTAAGAAACATTTACATATATTGGACATTAATATTGCGCATCCTATATCCAGAGATACCCCTGTTTAGGTGCGTTTAGCCATATGCTCTGGAGAAAAGGACGGTTTTCAGGGTGGCACGGAAGCTGCTGAGTTAACTGATTTGTCTGGGGCAGCCAATTCCACATATCAGCGGATCTACTGAAATTCCTGTCTCCACATCGTATTGTCCGAGAAGGCGGGACTGAAATGCCTTTAAGTTACTGTTTGCTTCTGTTGTGTTATACGTATATGATATAACCCAGATAGTTTATGATTTTATCTGTTCGGGTAGAGGCACGTGAGCAGGTTAAATCAAGGAATATAACCTCAACTAGTGCCTTAATCCCTAGATAGTATTTACATATCTTATGTTGATAATCATTTCACCCAACCTCTGGTGACCAACATGATGACGGAGATCATCCAGGGAGAAGAAGCACCGTCAGTCCCCATGGTCCCCCAATTAGGTGATCTGACCTTGTTTCGTTGTGGTCAACAGTAGTGGTGTAACTCTGAAGTAATCAGCTGATGATTATTTATCTTAATATTCTTTCTTTTGTTTTCAAACTAAACCGTCGATATATCCCAATATCTGCAGTATGGCCGATCTCATATGCAAGAGTTTTGCCCACCCTTTAGGTTTTCAAGTGGTTTTTTTAACTGTTTGATGGAACATTGCCACATGTATTCACTACACGTGTTTCATCATTGTGTTCCTTAGATCATGGCATACAGCAAACAATGAAGTGTTATTTCATATCAGATGTGTTTCAAGGGATGCGGGAATACAACGTAGATCATTGTCAGGTGGGCTGTGGAACAAAGTACGTAAAGACGTCCCAACTTCCTTCTGAATAAATAAAAGAGACAAATAACACGACCGGGGTGTTGAAAGTCTAAATTATGGTTACTAAATCATTTCATGAGTGAGTAGGTCGTAAAATGACGCACGGAACAGTATTTCAGTTATACGTTTTATACTGAGTCAAAAAAACAACTTCACATTCTTTCTTCAGGGCACTATCAAAGAACATGAGATGGTAAGATGGTTAAATTGTTATTATTTCATTGCTGAGATCTGTGTGATGTACTCGATACACTGACAGTGCCATAATCAGTTCCATTAGGCTACACCGCCGTTCCAAAACATGGGTATACAGAATGTCAAGTCACAAGAATAAAAATGCGAAATTTCTCAGTTCAATATCGTGTATGGCCGCCCCGCGCATTCACCACTGCCAAACACAGTCTCCTCATCGACTGCCTGATGCTTGTGAACACGTGGTTGGGGATTCTGCGCCATTGCTCTTGCAAGGCAGCGCCAAGTTCCTGCAAATTCTAAGGTTGGTTCCTAAGACCACGAAGCCTTCTCCCAAGTGCATCCCAAACGTGACCTATTGGATTAAGGTTAGGGGACCTCGATGGCCAGTCCATGACGTTGATTCCAGCGTTTTGAAGGAAATTTCGTGTCAACATCGCGGTATGCGGCCGAGCATTATCATGCTGGAACTGTAGACCTGGGCCGTGAGCCGCCATGAAAGGAACGGGTTCAGGGGTGAGCACCTGGTCGCGGTAAGCAGCAACTGTGAGGTTTCCACGGATGACCAGAAGTCGGGAACGGTTGTTCCCACAGAAAGCACCCCACACCATGCAACTTCAGCCCCCGAATCTGTCGACTTCCTGTACACAGCATTGGGCATACCGTTCACGTCGTCGTCTCCAGACTCTATGCCTGCCGTCCGCGAATCTGAGGGTAAACCAGGATTTATCGCTAAAAACGACTCGATTCCAGTCTCTCTGGGTCCATCGGAGGTGACGTTGGGCTCACAGCAGACGTTGACGTTGATGAAACGGCGTCAATATTGGCCCACGATATGGACGTCGAGAATGGAGATTGGCAGCCTGCAACCGATTTCGAATGGTCTGTGAGGACAGTCGACCTCTAAACATCTCAGCCCTGGTTCGTGTAGCCGGCAGAAATCTGTCACGTAGGTGACGTAGGACGATTTGACGGTCTTCCGCTCGTGACGTCACACGTGGACGACCCGACTTTGGGCGATCAGAAGTGGTGCCTGTTTGTTGTAAACGACCTCGCAAGTCATACACAGTACGACGGCCGCATCCCATTGCTCTTGCGATGTCAATAACTGATCTTCCAGCTTGCAACATGCCAACGGCACGTTCACGTTGCACATTTGACAATCGTGGCATTTCAAGTACCCTTAGAACTGTGGTTTAAAAGTGTTTTTTGCAATTCTTGAGGCCAATGCAAACACGTGCATATGAAGAAAACTTCGATGCGAAGATCACGTGATCGACTGCACGTGCAAAACCTGATTTGGCACTAACGTCATTTGCACGACGAATGGATGGGTTTGAGTGGGTTTTGCTAACGTTTTTCTAGAGTCGAAAGATAGGGATCCCATTTCGGATACAGAGATGTATCATCAGAGAAAAATTATTCTTTATTTTTCAAATTACATTTTGTGAAGTTTCTTTTTTGACTCAGTATA